TGTGTGTGTGTGTGTGTGTGTGTGTGTGTGTGTGTGTGTGAGAGAGAGAGAGAGAGAGAGAGAGAGAGAGAGAGAGAGAGAGAGAGAGAGAATTCTCAAAGAACAAAATATATATTCTAAAAACCAAGTGAAAGGAGTGCTTTTGTATGGCACATGATACATTATTTTTCATGTCTGATTTTTTTGGTAGGTCTATATTGGAACCTACTCTGGAAAAGAGGACATCTATATGCAAATGTCATATGCTTTATTTACTATTACTACTCTTTCCCACAGTGAAAGTACTTAATGGTGTTTATCAATCTCATATCACATACAATCACTTTTGCTTTCTATTGTACACTAGTTTCCAAAGCCAAACACTTAAAACCTCTAAACTACCCTGTTTCGAAAAACCAAAAACAAACAAACAAAAACTCTAAACATTTTGACAAAAACAAAAAAAAAAAACAGCCAGCATTGTTAAATTTCATACTTGTATTATTATCGAAGGTTTCTGGAGGAAGCCCCATCTTAAGAATATGGTACAGTTTTATTAACACATTAGCACTTTCTATCCTTTCTAAATAATTTAAAACATAAACCTGGAACATAAACACTGGAACATACATGGTCAAAATAACCTCTGCTTATTCCAATTTGATTTAAGTGTATTATCCTATGAGGAGATTCCTGAGTGCCTGAGGAGATTCCTGAGTGCTTTTTCACACTGATCTGAGATCTGAGTTTCAAAACACACCACCTTCCAACATCAACCGGGGCAAGTAACATACGGGTTCTGTACCATCAGTATTACATTTGGAGTATGTTAAATCTGTGGGCAGCCACTTCGAATTCTTCAGATTTTTAACTGTTTGGACATACCCTCACCCCATCTGCTTTTTTCTTTCCTCTTCCCCTAAGTATTTCGGTATATACCTAAAACACTAATGTCCTCTTGCAACCACAGCCAAGTAGACACGGGGCCTAAATTTCATCCAGGGAGGGCTTTTGAAATTGAGGCTCTGTGCTTCCCCCTCCACACGCCCACACTAACCTCGCAGTTTTCCAAAGGCTTCTAGTAAGTGACCCGCACGGCCATTTACACCGCCATTTACTTTTCATAACGACACAACTATTCCCAACTTAATTTTAGAGACAAGAAGCCAATTCCCAACGTGCAAAACTGGGTGCAGCGGATCCAAATGCTGGCAAATGGTGCAACGGGAATTCTCACTCCGGGCTTTTTGTCTTTTTTTTTTTTGCGCCAAAACACAAATCCCCGCACTTCACTGAGTCGCGAAGCATCCCGGGGAACAGCCCGCCCCAGGGCGGAATCCGCCCATCACCGGTTTAAACCGAACTTTCCAAAGCCGCTGGAGGTCGTAATTGACGAACACTAGCAAAACCCGCACTTTCTAGTGCTCGCTTTCGGGGGTTGGGGAGGATGGAGGGGGGGAGCGTGGCCAGCTCGGAGACTTGGTTCACGTGGTCCCCTGGAACTGGGGGCGCCCTCCGAAAGCCGGGGAGACGGGAGACCCGGGTCCGCTCGGGGTTTACCCCGCCTCCCCCGGCCCCGCGCTCCCAGGGGGCGGCAGGGCACAGCCCCGGCTAAGGAAGGCCACGGCGGTTTAAAAGCCGTCGGCGTGGGGACGAGAACGCGGGCCTCCCAGCCTCCGGGCCCGCCCGTCCCGCCCGCGGGAAGCCCGGAGAGGGAGCGCTCGGCTCACCTTCGGCCTCCGGCCGGCTCCGCCGAGGGACGCGGGGGGCGGGAAAGGCGAGCCCGGGTTTCCCAGGCTGCACCGCGCGGGGGCCTCGGCGCTCCACGCCCGGAGAGACGCGGCCGGGGCGGAGAGAGGAGCTCGGGCTGCGGTCGCCGCCCGCGGCCGCCCGCTCACCTCAGCTCTTGCTTTTCCGGTAGCGACTTTTCCTCAGCGCGGCGGAAGCACAAGTTCCGGTTGCCTTCTCAGGAAGAAGCCCCTGACGAGGGCCTTTAATTGGCTACCAAGGCTGTCCCATAACAGGTCGTGCTCCCGCCCTAAAGATATTGCGCCTGCGCACTGCCGCGCCTCCCGCTTCGCCCGGGGTTATCTCAGGCATCTCCAACCCCCACCCCCTCACACCCCCAGGATTCCTAGGTCTGGTTGGGCGAGTTCCTCTCCGCACATGTTGTCAGTAAAAGAAAGTGCTATCTAATAATTCCATTCCTCGCCGCCCCCACTTTTAAATTAAAATTAAAAAGGAATCCACTTGTATGTAAAAGTCAGAAAATACAGGTAAGCAGTATATTAAAATATTCCAGCAATGCCTACCTCACCATCAAAAATGCTTTTTAATTAAGATTAGACTCCATGATATACATATATATGTATATAAATATTTGCAAATATATGGAGATAATTGTGAAGCTGATTAAGAATAAAATCCTAAACCTCTGTTTCCCCTCTCCATTTACTTTTCATTTAGGAATTCAAAGATGTCTATTACAGTTCTTCCACAAATTGACAAGCGAAAAAAATTAATTTGATGTAATTTTTTTAAATGGAGGGAGAAGGGTTTTTTCACTGTGTAGCCCAGGCTGGCCTCACACGTCCCTTCCCAGCCTCAGGAACGTACAGAAATGCGCCATCAGGCCCAGCAAGAAAACTTTCCATTTAGGTTTTGGTTTTGGGTGGTTTTTTTTGGCCTTTTTTTGTCTGTTTGTTTTCTTACCCCACAAGAATTGTTAACAAATGTCCAAATTCATGGGAGTCTTAAGGATGCACACTGCGTATTAAAAGTAAGATAAGAATGTTCTTCTGATAAAAAGAGCTCTGCTTCACAAACAGGAATCTCCCAGTTTCTTTCTTTAAATATATGGAGAATTGCAGGCATAAAAGTAAAAGTGCAGTCTACTTGCCATCAGCTTCAACAGTTACATGCTGAACATTTCATCTCTAGTCCAGTGTGCAGCTCTAAAAGGTAAGGGCTCTTTATTTCTTCATACACTCATAGAATCATTATCTTCTTGAAAGTATATTCAGGGTCATTAAAGAAACAAAACTGATAGAATGAATGTATATATGATTTATTAGAGTGTCTCACAGGATTCAGTTCAAGTTATTTGTGGGGCGTTTACCCACCACCCCCACAGCTTCCCAGAGTTTTCTTGAGTGCGAGCAGCAGGAAATATTAGATAGAAG